TATGCATGATTGGTAACCAGGCAAATCTATTTACTAAAATAAAGAGTTCAGATCCGACACTCTACGGGATTAAAAAGCATTTACTAGGTTTGAATTGTCCCAACCAATCAACGAACTTTAATTATGACAGCGTCAGTAATATCTTCCAATCAGGTAGTAAGAAAGCCTTCAGCCCGCAGACTGTCCATCGTTCAACTCTTAATACCGAGGAGATGGTAATTATTTTCAGGAAGTTATAAACTTGATTATGGAGGAGAAAATTGAGAAATGCCTGTCATTGGTTTTAGTCAATAGAAATTAAAATGTGATACAAGCTATATATGTTTGTCATATTATCCTCAAGATACTAAAAATAAATATACAAGATGTTAAAATATCTAATTTTTTCTAGAGTATGTTTTAAAATTTCTATGTTACTTATGGGTGAAAAAATAAAACCATTAGACTTAAAGTAAGCTCTGCCAATACATACTGTTAAACAAAGTCCTTTAGACTTGTTTAAAAGTCATCAATTACCACCCTCCTAAACTATCCAACCATACACAACATTTCAAAACTGTAGAATCAATTGACACATTTTCCGATAAATCAATCTGCATCAAATTAACAGCAATCTTTGATATTTAGATCTAAAATGGAACTACCTGCAGTTTGAAGCAAACTTTGGCATTGCTGATTATAAAAATCTGTTTTTTTCTGATTAAATCAAAATCCAGTGAAAATGACTATTCTATCAAGTTTGATGTAAATTCAGAATGAGCAATACAAGTAAGTCAGCAAATCTATAAGTTTGTTCTAAACATAGACTGACAATACAGCTATTAAACTTCAAAACTTTCAATTTACATTTAATCCTCTTTCATAACAACTTTTATATAATTTTAATTAAATTAGACTCTAACTGGTAGTTGATGTCAATGAAATAGTTAATCATAGAAAAACTCTCTTGATATTACCAAAGTTTTGTGTATTAACCAAAGTTGATTACTCAATACTACATCTTTTGTTATAAATAAGATAATAATTTTAAATTAAATGGACAGATGTACAAATGTCTGTCTATCATATACCAGTAGACCACTGGAGAGTAACTGACTTCCAACATAAACCAGTAGATTAAGTGAGTAACTGACTTCTATCATAAACCATTAGGTCAAGAGAGTTACTGACTTCCAACATCTAACAGTAGCTTAAGTGAGTAACTGATTTCTATCATACACCATTAGATCAAGAAAGTAACTGACTTCCAACATCTAACAGTAGCTTAAGTGAGTAACTGACTTCTATCAAAAACCATTAGACCAAGTGAGTAACTGATTTCTATCATAAACCAGTAGATCAAATGAGTAACTTATTTCTATTATAAACCATTAGAATAAGTGAGTGACTGATTTCTATCATACACCATTAGATCAAGCAAGTAACTGATTTCTATCATAAACCATTAGATTAAGTGAGTAACTGATTTCTATCATAAACCATTAGATCAAGTGAGTAACTGATTTCTATCATAAACTAGAAGATTTAGTGAGTAACTGACTTCTATCATAAACCATTATATCAAGAGAGTTACCGACTTCAAACATATAATTGCAGACCAGATGAGTTACTGGCTTCTAACATATGCCAGAAGACTTTCAACATATACTTGTTGATCAAGTGAGTAACTGGCTCCCAACATGTACTTGTTGATCAAGTGAGTAACTGACTCCCAACATATACTTGTTGATCAAGTGAGTAACTGGCTTTCAACATATACTTGTTGATCAATTGAATAACTTACTCCCAACATGTACTTGTTGATCCAGTGAGTAACTGACTTCCAACATGTACTCGATGATCAAGTGAGTAACTGACTCCCGACATGTACTTGTTGATCAAGTGAGTAACTAACTCCCGACATGTACTTGTTGATCAACTGAGTAACTGACTCCCAACATGTATTTGTTGATCAAGTGAGTAACTGACTTCCAACATGTACTTGTTGATCAAGTGAGTAACTGACTTCCAACATGTACTTGTTGATCAAGTGAGTAACTGACTCCCAACATATACCAGCAGACCAGGAGAGGAACTGACTTCCAACATATACTTGTTGATCAAGTAACTGACCTCTACCATTAACCAGATACCAGTGAGTAGCTGCTTTCCATCAAATACCAGTAACTTATTATCATCATATACCGTGTGAAAACTGACCATGCAGAAGTGTTATTGATTAGGATTATATCCCAATCTTAAATGGTAGGAAGATAAAGTGTTTTTCTCTAAGACATAATTTTTGCAAGAAATTTGAGGAAAAAATCAGAGAAGTACAATAAAGTGAAATTTAAAGACCTATTAACGAAAAAAAGATTTGCACAGAATAAGTAGCTGTTCATCATACAAATATCAATAGGATGTGGTAATAAGCTTTATACTGTAATACTAGTAACTACAATCAGAAGGCTTTAATACAGATCTTAATTAATCATATACAATACTAGTGATATGCTAAAACATTTATCAAGGGAATTCTTACAAGGAAAGATCATATATTAAGGCAAGTATAAATTAAATAAGTCTCTCTTTTTTCTTGCTTTCCTTTGAAGTGGATTAATGATCTATTACGTTAATTTCTAAGATAATTTAAAAAATATCTTTTATCAAATATCTTAAAATAAGCCTGTTATCATATCAGATACCTGTACTACTATTCATGTTATATCTACAAATTGTAAAATACAATTTATCTTTGTTTTTGTCTCGTCTGTATTAATTGCTAAGATATTTCTTAATACTGTCACTGCAAATCAAAATAGCATACTGTAAATAAACATCAAACTACAGAGGAATGGTCAAGAAATCTATTTCCAATAATTAAAATAATTCATCTGTTGTAATTACTTTAACTGAGAGAACTTTGTATCAAGATGAACCTTACTTTGACAAATAACCAAAGCAATTTCACCAAAACAATTCCTTCAAAGTATTCCATTGATGTAAACTGTACTGTATATAAATTCAAGTCAATATTTCTGTGGTTGTCTTCTGTTGCTGTACAGCATATTTGTTTTTCATTTATTTTGTACAGTTTGTCCTTGTGTTGTGCTGTTGCACCACTGTTCCAGTTTAGGGGAGGGTTACTTAACTGCCCAAAAACATGTTTCAGCCCACCACAATATGTATGTGCTTGCCCAAAGTCAGGAGCCTGTAATTCAATTGTTGTTTGTTGCTGTATATCATATTTGTTTTAGTTTGTTGTTTTGTACATAAATCAGGTTGTTGATTTCCTCTTTTGAATTGTTTTTGTTTTGTTATATCAGGACCTTTTATAGCTTACTATGCGGTAAGGGTTTTGCTCATTGTTGAAGGGTGTCATTGGTGAACTATAGTTGCTAACATCTATGCCATTGGTCTCTTGTGGATAGTTGTCACATTGGCAATCATACTACATCTCCTTAATTTATATTAAGTGTATTTCAGGATGACTACTATTTCAACATCCTGGACAGAGAATGTTTTGTGATTTGTTCTCATTACAGTTGGATGTCGAATGACCTCTACAACACTTACATGTATTCTTTATCATATATCGTCTGCTACATTGTTAAGTACCAATGATGAATTTTGAGGGAAGCCAGACAGAAGAAAAATGTCTAAGGTGTCAAGTATTTTAGAGGATGACATTTTCTGTGTTTTTTTTGGGGGTCAAATTTAGTAAACCTGTACATCAGACTTACTATATTTTTACTGCTATTGTTATAAGTTTTCCTTCCATCTCCAGTGGAGTAGTGAGAAAATAGCCTGATGGAAATATCACCTATGTTTTATATAGTAAGTTGATTACTATTAACACCTTCTATATTGTTTATAGCCATTTAGATCTTCATAAAGGTGTCTTCCTTCAGCCTGATAAATTTATAAGACATTGATGTATTTATTTAATAGTTTGGGTTAAATTACAAAGAATATCTTGCCAAACAGACTTTTGGTATATGAATCAAACAAACCCCACCAGGATTTGTATATTTAGGGGTGTTTATATGTCTCTGGGAATCTTTCCCCCAGTTTTTGGTGGTGTTTGTGTTGCTCAGTCTTTAGTTTTCTATGTTGTGTTTTATGTACTGTTGTTTGTCTGTTTGTCTTTTTCCTTGTTAGCAATGACATTGTCAGTTTATTTTCGACTTATGAGTTTGAATGTCACTTTGGTGTCTTTCACCTCTCTTTTACAAGTCTTATATCCTGACATTAATGATACCTCCATATAAGTCCTTACAAATCTACTACATTCAAGACCTCATGTTAAATCTTCAATTACATTTATCCTTTTCCTTGAACATTACATCAAAGGATAATCCTTAACTGATGTAAAACAAAACTTAATATCAGGATGTATTTGTTAATAAAGAATCATTTTATTTAATCACTACTGTTACTTAATTCAATTTTATAAATTTCACATTTCTGTTGTAAAGATTCTGCTGAAATTAAAGAGAATAATTTTCTGTTATATGTACCATGTTGCATTATCAATAATATTGACCAGCAACTTCAATAGTAATATTTCATTTCTTTGTATTATTATTGAAAATCATATGGATTTTGAATATTCTATATATTCAATTATAAAAATGAGATTTGAACTTCTGTTGAAACGGAATTAGACAATTCTCTAGCTTTCTTTATCAAAAGTACTTCTAAAGCAGCATATTTTTTTTTAATAATTTGCTGCAGTATCAAAATGTAGTAGAGGAGAAAACCAAAAGATGATTAAGTTAAAACTATCCTATCAGAAATCTGAAGATCAACATATCATAAAATAAGCAAATATATCATATTAATCAAGAAAATATACTGACAGACTAATTAATGATGCTTTCTTTGATTGCTTTAAGAAGATCGCAAATGAAAAAACAATTTTTTAAGAGATGCTATCGATTGTTTAGCTAATTGGTGTCACTGATTAAGTGGGTTTTACACATACCTAAAGGAATTATTGATAACATTATATTAATTATCTATTCAAACCAATCAAAACTTCTTGTTTCAGCCTCTACAAACAGAACCTTTATTGAAAAAATCAATTCTGGACAGACAGGTAGACATGTGATGGATGGAATGCATTGCAACAAAGTATTTAAGCATGTTTAATGAGGATCCCACTATAATTTGCGTAATAAAGTAAATACACATAGTACGTCACAATGATAATGGAATATATTGTTCACTTTAGAACTTCTGGTCACATGTTTCATAAAGTTCAAAAGTTAGAAAAAGTACACCAGAAATATCATCAAAGTGTCATTTATTGATAAAGATGACAATATCTCAACAAAAAAATATTAGTGAAAAGAATGGAACAGAATATATACAATGGGATTTACTTCTTAACCAATCAACCATTCATCAAAACTCCACAAATTCTTCCACAAGCATGGAGACCGAGTATAACTGGGCTATCTTATTATGGTCTCCGTTGATAATATTTGGAATTGCTGGGAATATACTTGTGTGTATGGCTATATCTATGGAGAAACGCCTTCAAACTGTGACAAATTACTTCCTCTTGTCTCTTGCTGTGACTGACTTACTTGTTTGTGTTATAGTTATGCCTTTTAGCATCATTAATGAATTTACAGGTAAGAAAACACATTCAAACACAAATTATTATTAATCATTATTTCTTATCTTTTATTTTTTTATATTGAAAATTCATGAAACTTTGTGTCTTGCTGCAAAAAGAACATAGAGATATTAAGAGAAAACTTTTCAACCCGTTTATAAAGAAAATAACTACAACAATAAGTTCCAATTCAACTTCGGTTCCAAATAAATCACTTTTTCAATGAAGAAATTTTACACAAAAAAAAAGTATATTTTCTTCATTTAGTCCAGATATATAGAGTTAAGAGCGTGGATTGTGAATAGACGATTTATCAAGAACATTTATTAAAAACAGACATTTTTCATAGCTATTGAATAATAATAAGATTAATATCCAATAAATTATGTTATAAACTGGCGTAACATTTGATTTTGGTGGAAAACAGATAAGATATGTTATGAATGTAGTTTCCACATCTTCCTTTGTAGTAAATTCATGTACATCATTCTTTTAACTTTCCCATTTGATTTCAAACTGATTTTGTATTTGACAACTTATTCATTAATCTTGTTATAACCATGTTATTAACAGAGAATATATCAATAAACAGCCACGTTCTTTCTAAAAATCCAACTAAATCCGATCCTGGAAAACCTTATATAAACCCATTTCATACAAAATAATTCCAAATCAATTCTTGAAACAATCTTTTCAGTCATTAAAATGCAATAAAATCACTACTTAAAATAAATTATTTTCATGCAAGATTTCCTTCATTTAAAAAACCATTATTGATTTTCATGGTAATGAAATTTCACCATTGATATCATAAAAAATAATTAGTTTGTTTCATGGTGTTTATATCATTACATTATCAATCAAACAGATCACAAAGCATTTGGTGAAATTAACTGGTTAATTATTTCATCTTATAACTAATTAATTTCTTCATCATGTATAACCCTTGGGTGTATAAACAGCATATAAATAAAAAAAACAAGGAGTTCCAAAACTGGAAATGACTCAAGCAAATTTGAATTTGCAATTTTCTACTTTGGTCATATGCTAATGCAGGTAATTCTCAGTTATTAACTCATAGTTTATAAGTTCAAGGGAAAAAGAACCTTAACAATATCTGATTCATTATATTTACAAGTCATACATGCACAACAATCAGAACATTTAAAAGGAGTATCTTGAAATCCTGTCATTTTCATGTTTCCAATAATTGTGTTCCAAAAATGTACTGTGTGACGTTAGACTATTGTTGAATTTAAGTAATGGTTTGAAGAAAGTTTTCCATATTAGATATTGTCACACTTAAACCTGTAGTTTTGGTTCAACAGTTGCTTAATCAATTATATTACAAATGTTACAACCAAAAATTGATTTCTTATTTATTTATAATATAATCATTGTATAAGCAAACAGTAGGTGAAAAAGAAACTTCTATTAATATATATATCAGTGATAAATGTATACAATAGGCAAACAACAAACTTACATATATATATCAGAGACATATATATACAATACAAAAAATATTTAAGCAGTGAAAGCATTTTTTTAAAGTACATATATACATTGGTATTTCATAAAGAAAATATTTAAACCTACGTCATTATACATCTACACTTCTATAATGCTAAATAAAATGCTCCGCAGGGCGCAGCTTGATACGACCGCAGAGGTCGAACCCTGAACAGTTGGGGCAAGTATGGACACAACATTCAAGCTTGATACAGCTTTGCATTTGGATTGTGATTAAATATTTGACACAGCATAGGTTTCTGACACAGAATGAATGTGGTCTAAGAACTTAAAAATTTTAAATTGGACATTCACCTATTATGGTCTAATATCCAAAATCTAAATACATGGTTAGATTCAGCATACCAAAGAACCCCAAGAATTCAATTTTTGATGAAATCAAACAAAGTTTAATTTTGGACCCTTTTGACCTCAATGTGGACAAAGTTGATAACGGGGCCCAAAAATCAAAAATCTAAATACATGGTTAGATTCAGCATATCAAAGAACCCCATATATTCAATTTTTGTTGAAATCAAACAAAGTTTAATTTTGGACCCCGATTTGGACCAACTTGAAAACTAGGCCCATAATCAAAAATCTAAATACATGTTTAGATTCAACATATCAAAGAACCATAAGAATTCAATTTTTGTTAAAATCAAACTAAGTTTTATTTTGGACCCTTTGGACCTTAATGTGGACCAATTTAAAAACGGGGCCCAAAATCCAAAAACTAAATACACGGTTATATTCAGCATATTAAAGAACCCCAAGAATTCAAGAATAAAACCCCATTGAAATTGGTCAAGAAATAAGCAATTTATATGAAGTATCTTCTTTTGCACAATACTGTGCAATTAAATATTTCTTGCTATTGTGCAATACTGTACAATTGACAATTTCTTGCTATTGCGCAATATTGTGCTATTGGATATTTCTTGCTATTGCGCAATACTGTGCAATTGAAGATTTCTTGCTATTGCGCAATACTGTGCAATTGAAGATTTCTTGCTATTGTGCAATACTGTGCAATTGAAAATTTCTTGCTATTGCACAATACTTATTACATAATAATTTACACATCCTGTTTGGTGTGTATCTCCTACCATATCATTATTATTTGCTTTTAAATATAAATCAGAAATAACCAACTTAAAATGGAAAATTTAAAAAAGAAAAAAAAAAGGAAAAAAAAAAAAATCCCCCCCCCCAAATTTTGTGAACCCCCTTATGATTCATCACCCCCAAACTTAATCCTCACCTTCCCTTTGTGGTATAGTACCTTGCAGTACAATTTCAGAGAGATCCATACACTTGAACACAAATTATTGTCTGGAAACTAGAAAAATGTGTTTTTTGGCCCCTTTTTGGCCCCAAATTCCTTAACGTTTAGGGCAATTACCCCACACTCAAACCCAGCTTTTCCTTTGTGATATGGAACCTTGTAGTACAATTTCAGAAAGATCCATACACTTACACACAAGTTATTGTCCTGAAACTAGAAAAATGCTTGTTTTTTGCCCCTTTTTGGCCCCTAATTCCTAAAATATTGAGGCAATTACCCCCATCATCAATCCCAGCTTTCCCTTTGTGGTATGGTACCTTGTAGTACAATTTCAGAGAGATCCATACACTTGAACACAAGTTATTGTCTGGAAACTAGAAAAATGCTTATTTTTGGCCCCTTTTTGGCCCCCAATTCCTAAACGTTTCGGCAATTACCCCCAAACTCAATTCCAGCTTTCCCTTTGTGATATGGAACCTTGTAGTACAATTTCAGAAAGATCCATACACTTACACACAAGTTATTGTCCTGAAACTAGAAAAATGCTTGTTTTTTGCCCCTTTTTTGGCCCCTAATTCCTAAAATTTTGAGGCAATTACCCCCAAAATCAATCCCAGCATTCCTTTTGTGATATGGAACCTTGTGGTACAATGTCAGAGAGATCCATACACTAACATACAAGTTATGTCTGGAAGTTGCAAAAATGCTTATTTTTGGCCCCTTTTTGGCCCCTAATTCCTTTACTGTTGGTACCATAACCCCCAAAATCATTCCCAACCTTCCTTTTGTGGTATTGAACCTTGTGGTAAAATTTCATAGAGATCCATTCACTTAAACTAAAGTTAGAGTGCGAAAACCAATGTGTCTTCGGACGACGACGACGACGACGACGACGCCAACGTCATACCAATATACGACCACAAAATTTTTTTTGCAATCGTATAAAAACTACAAAAATTTGTTAAATTCATATAAATGCATATTTTAAAAAAACACAACTGTGGACACCAATTAATTACACATGCTGTCATAAAGAAACATGTATTTGTGTATACATACCTGCCAATTTTTTCAAAATCTCCATGGGGGATTTTAAGCACAAGAGGATTTAATGCATACCTATACATGGCATTAGTGTACTTAATTAGAAGATCTATGGTTCTGAATGAGTATACATGTGTTTAAATGTAATTTTTACTCATATTTGCCCTTTTTTAAAAAGTATTTAGTCTATATAATTGAGTTTAATATGGTTTGGGTCATAACCTCTCTTGGGGGATATCCCCCATAAAAGTTTGAAAGTTGACAGGTCTATGTATACTTTTTGTGGACAATCAATCGAAAGTAGTCCAAATAAATGAGAGCCTGTGCAGTAATTGTGAGTTTTATTAGGTTATAAAAATTCACTTCATAAAGCTATTGACCAATCAGAATGAAATTTATGTTTAATGCAATCATATAATCTATCAAAGATATATGTACAAACTTTTACTGAATCTATACCTACAATTAAATTGTATTAGTGATAAATGTGTATTAGTGATAAATGTGTATTAGTGATAAATGTGTATTTGTGTTTACTTATGTAGTACTTATCTCAATTCTGTAATACATTAATGTAGTGCCAGAAGTCACTATGTCAAACACAAGACAGTCTGGACTTATGTAGTACTTATCTCAATTCTGTAATACATTAATGTAGTGCCAGAAGTCACTATGTCAAACACAAGACAGTCTGGACTTATGTAGTACTTATCTCAATTCTGTAATACATTAATGTAGTGCCAGAAGTCACTATGTCAAACACAAGACAGTCTGGACTTATGTAGTACTTATCTCAATTCTGTAATACATTAATGTAGTGCCAGAAGTCACTATGTCAAACACAAGACAGTCTGGACTTATGTAGTACTTATCTCAATTCTGTAATATATTAATGTAGTGCCAGAAGTCACTATGTCAAACACAAGACAGTCTGGACTTATGTAGTACTTATCTCAATTCTGTAATACATTAATGTAGTGCCAGAAGTCACTATGTCAAACACAAGACAGTCTGGACTTATGTAGTACTTATCTCAATTCTGTAATACATTAATGTAGTGCCAGAAGTCATTATGTCAAACACAAGACAGTCTGGACTTATGTAGTACTTATCTCAATTCTGTAATATATTAATGTAGTGCCAGAAGTCACTATGTCAAACACAAGACAGTC